TTGTAACAAAATAACGAGTCTCAAAATCATGATTACATAATGTAGATAACACCAAACTTAAATCTTATTTAATTATTTAGATAAAGTCATTTTTTATTTTTGTATAAATAAAATCTTTTAAAAACTTGAAATTAAAGTCAAATGCAAAGTTTTTAAAAAAAAAAAAAAAAAAAGCTAAAGTAAAATAAAAGACTTTTTAATAAAGGGAAAAAGAAAACCTAACAAAACGCTTCTAGGAAAGATAAAAGAGAGAGAGGAAACAATTCAACCGTTTAGGAATTGAAAAAAAAAAGCGTCTAGGTATGAAGCAAGGCGTTTTGCCCAAGTTTCGATCCTAAACAAACTTTTTAGAATAGTGCTTTAAATCGAATAAATACATCTTTTACGTCAAATTGTGTTTGATAGGATAAAAGCATATTTATCGTGTATAATGATCGATAAAGATAGCATGGTACTTAAAGCTATCATGTTAAATTAATGGTAGCGTCCATACATCAGATAATATAATTTCAAGTGGGTGAGATAAGACCAGCGTTGAGTTGGAAGTAGATATATTGTGATTTTTATTACTAACCATTTTCTTTGAACGTGTAGCATGATCGGTGACCCAATTAAGCACATTCTAGGATATATGTATCGATTTACACTAAAACACATCTCATTCAAAAATTCCTTCATATCTCAAATTAAGCCCAGTTAATCTCAAATCCTGCTCAATCACTTCCCTAATTTTTTCAAGTCCTCTATCTAATTCATATATAATCCTTCTTTCACAAATTTTAGGTAACAAAAATCCATTTTTATACTCCTCTCACTTTTTAGGTTATCTATCATCTTTGCTAACTCAGCAATTATACGATTCGAAAAAAATTAGATCATTTTCTGAGTAATGTTGTCTATCATTAATAGACATCGTCATTAGTTTGGATGACAATGGTCCCTTGCTTTATTATCCAATGAAGGTGTGATGCATTATAATACATTGAAACGTAGATCGGAGGCTCCACTGCTACCTAAACTCAAGATGATTTCTACTAATTTTTCATTATTGAGCAACATCAATCCTAAGAGGAAATTAATATATAATTGTCTTTCGTTGTAGACATTTAGATTGATAGCATTAGTCTTTTACTGGCCGAACTGCAATCGATACGATGTGTAGAAACTCGAAATTTCAAAGTATAAAAATGGTTAATCCATGATTTATTATTATCTTTTCCCAAGGTCTTTATGTTCTTTAACCTGTCGGAATTTCCACCGACAATGTACATAAACAAGTGTGAGACGTTCCCCGATAGTCCATAGGATATGTCAATCATATTTTTTGATTTATTACTTTAATTTGTTCCAAAATGATTTTTCTAAATGAAAATCCGAATAATTATCTACTTTATGTCGAATGTTATTATATTTAATGATTCTTTGTCGTTTTGCTCTCTATAGAATATTCAACCGTGAAATAGGTAAATAACAACTAACGGAATTCAAATTTAAGTCAATTTCTATTTATTATACGAAACTCTTCAATCTTGTGATCAAAGTCAAAGTCAAAGTCAAAGTCAATTCTTATCTAACAATTAAACAGATGAATAACGACAAACAAAATTTAAAGTCAACGTCAATACTTATCTATTGAAGGAACAACGTCAATCTTGTGATCAAGCATTCACCCATTGTTATTTATACTTTTTGAATGCTAAGCGGAGAATATCTAATCACTAAATGGGTAAATAACGACAAACAAAATTAAAATTCAAGTCAATTTCTATTTATTATGTGAAACTAGTCAATCTTCTGATCAGCAGTTCCCCTTTTTATTTATATTTTTTGAATGCTATGCATAAAATATCTAACCTCTAACGAGTAATAACAACAAATATAATTCAAAGTCAAATGAATTTCTATATATTGAATGAAAATCGTCGATCTTGTGATCAAGCAGTGTCCTATTTTTATTTACGCTTTTTGAATTCTATTTTGTTTATTTCCTCTTCTCAACTTTTTCAAACTATTCAAAATAAGACATGACACGCAAAGCATGTGAGTCTCGAGAGTTCATTATTTCTATCAGTGATGATGATTGATGACTCAATTGTACTTGAAAAAATTATCCGGGACCAGACTCACGTGTTATAATTGGAAAAGTTTGGGGGCCTTAACTGCAAAATTACGCTATTTTGGTTCCACAGTTAGTCAGTCCCTTTGTTGCCTCTATAAATTCCCAACGAAGTGTTTTATTTATTCCCCGCAAAATTTCAGGCTTCAAAAGAAACAGGAAAATCTCTCTGCCGAAGCTTCACTTGCAAGTCCCCAAAGCTTCAACAATGGCCATTTGGGTTCTTTTTCACCTTTTTCTCTTCCTTGTTTTAGAGCCAACAACAGCAAATTTAGAAGGTGAGAGATAGTATATTAGATCTGTTTGTTTTCTTTATGATTTGCAGTTGTTTTGAAGTGATTTTTGGTTAACAGGGAATGCTCTTTTTCAACTGAGGATAGAAGTTGACGACCCGGAAAATGTTTTACAGAGCTGGGATCCGACCCTGGTGGATCCATGTACTTGGTTTCATGTCACTTGTGATGCTCAAAACCGGGTCACCAGACTGTAAGTACCAGCTTCTTGCTTATAAATCTAATCTACACGACAGACAGATAGCCCCTTTACTAATTCAGAAATATAAGGATTCTAATTGTTCTATGTTTTGCAGTGACCTGGGAAATGCAAAGCTATCAGGAAAATTAGTTCCTGATTTGGGGAAGTTAGAGCGTCTTCAATATTTGTGAGTACAGATTCTTTAAATGCTTAAGAATCAGAGATTGAAAAAACCATGAAACGATTAATGGCCTAACCCACTGGATGGGACGAGTCACTCGGGAAATGCTACCTGTACAGGCTGGTTTAACGATGGGGTTACGTAATGCTGACCTGGCAAGATTTCGCACCATTTTGAACAGAAAAAAAGTTAAATCAGTCAAAGAAATCTTGCCACCTCAGCATCTGCAACCCCATGTGTTAAAAAAACTAGTACAAGTAGTATTTTCCGAGTCAATCAGTCCCTTGCAGAGAATTATGAACGATAAAAAGTGAATGCAAGCGGGTACAGTTCAGTTTTTTGCTGACACACAATGGCATTTAATGTTAATTAAAATAGTTGGTGTTGCTTTACAGGGAATTATACATGAACAGCTTTGTGGGTCCAATTCCTGCTGAACTAGGAAAATTGAAGAATCTTGTAAGCCTAGATCTTTACCATAATAATCTCACAGGATCCATCCCTCCATCTCTGGCCAACCTCTCCAAACTCAGAATCTTGTAAGTACTCGAACACATTTGATTTTAAACTTCTTTCGCTTTAATACCAGATCAGACACTATCTAGTACTGTTTAATCTACCTTATCAGTGGTTTTTGCCGATTTTTAGGCGTCTGAATGGCAACAGGCTGACAGGAAGAATCCCAAGGGAACTTAGCAAGCTTGGAAAACTAAAGAAGCTGTAAGTAGTCAATTCGAAATAAGACAAGAATTTTTAACAAAAAAATTTTTTCTTTGGCCTTTGGTCAGGTTTACAAACAAATTAATCTGTTCTTCACATGCAGAGATGTGTCCAATAATGATTTGTGTGGTACAATTCCAACAACTGGCTCCTTTTCTAAGTTCACCGAGAACAGGTAACTGAATGAAACTAAAATCTCGTCCAGTCCACGGTCTATTATTATCTAATACTATGTATCAAACATGTTGTTTAGTGTAAGAAGTGATTGATTATCTGTTGTCTGATTGCAGTTTCAAGAATAACTCAAGATTAAAAGGGCCTGAGCTGATGGGCTTTGTGAGATATGATGTTGGAGGCTGCAACTGAAGCTGCACACACACAAGTAGTGATTCTAATGAGGGATTTTGGGCCTTTATGTACTGTCAATGTGCAATCAAAACTAAACCCTTTAAAAAAAAGCACTTCAATATTTTGTTGGTACGTGGAGTATATTATGAGTTTGCTATTGCTGTGTGGAGATCGGGGTGGAATATAATTTTCGCAAGTAGAAAAACAAAATGTTTAATAGAAAATATTTTATTAAAGATAAAAATTTCAAAACTTCACAACACAAGATTCAAGATTGATGTTAAGTAGAAGGTTTCAACTGGATGGATCCAAATGTGACAGCATAATATAGGCCACAAGCTTAATTAAACTGAGATCTCAATGGTCTTAACCTCGGACTTCTTCACTTGTTCCTTGTACACAGTCACACCATTCTCTATGCTAGCCTTAAGGGAAATACATGGAAATGACCCAAATTCAAGGTCATATTTCCAAAATAACCCATTTCACTATTCAACCATATAAACTACCTAAAATACCCTTAATATAAAAGGTTTCAAAATAAGTCATTTTAGTCCTTAAAACTTTAATTCTAATTTTGGATTCGACAAAATTGTTTGCCCCTTGCAATAAAAATTAACNGAAGAAGCCCAGATAGAGAGATCAGGGTAAAAGCCCAACCAAAAATATCATTAAATATGAGGAAAGCCCAAAAAGATAAAGGTACGACGTCGCCCAAGTCGGCAGGACGCCCAGATATTGAGCGAAGGAAACACCCTACAATCGCCCAGAGCAGAAGATCAATTGTCACCCAAGAATGCTGAGTCGCCCAAAGTCCAAGAAATGACCAAAGTTTGTTGTTATCCAAAATCACGATCTAAGACGGTTTGAGCACATCATAATTATGCCCCACGATTTGAGAAAGTTGATGGCAAGCAGTTATGAAGAGAGCGTAGTGATAAAAGTTGCACACGATAGTTTTTAGCCAACTGACCATGATGAAAGAAGTGGGTAGTTACAAGCAGTTGCTAAAACGATCAAAACTGCCCAGACCGTATAAAAGAAGGAAGAAGACAACGAAGATATCCCGACAAAATTCACTCTCAAAACAGAGAACATGTAATTTACTTTTTTTAAATTAATTTTTAATTACTTCAATTCCCTTATACTTATGTGATTGCGCCCCTTGGAGGCATCTTGTTCGTGTCCCAACTGTAGTCTTCATATTCAATAAACACCCATTTTTGAGACTTTGTTCCAAGATGTTTGTCCCTTACACAATCGTCTGATCCCCTTTTCAATTGTTAGCGAGCGAAAATGCGCGAAACAATTTGTGACACCCAGCTTACATTTTGTTTTCTTCTTTCATCGATTATTGCTTGAAACTATTGTTTATGTTTCATCTTTTTCAATGTCATCCAAATTAAAAATTACTAGTTCAATCCTAAAATCACTTAATTGGTGAATAATGCGGAATTAAATTTATCAATTAAAAATAATAAATCAATTTTTAATTGTTCTAGATGTTTAGTCAATCAAATCAAATTATCATATGTTGAATTGCCGTTATAAATAATTAAAGCAGTAAATAACACAAAATTTGATAACTGGGAAAATCCCTAATTGGGTAAAAACTCCGGGATCAAGCCAATAGTTTTCACTATAGATAATAAGAACGTACAGTATGATCCAGCCTAGAAAACCCGCCAGACTTGCTAATCTAATTCCTGCAATATCCAAGATTTGTTGGAACGTGCTCCACTCATACATGCTCATTATCTTTTGAAATTGTCTATCTCCTATGGAACAACAAGAACGCCTCATTCTTGTACTCTTCCCGTGCTTTTGGTCCAACCGCCATCAATCTTCAGCAAGTTTTGAAAGCTATTGAGAAAGTACTTTCCTGATAATATATACTAAGTTGGTGTTTTGGATTATAAGAATTCGATATTTTTCCCAAACTTATGATTGATTAATCTCAAGAATCAAAAGGTTAATCTAGATTTCTGGATGTGCTCTTGGATCTTGAAATGGGTTATGAAGATGTAAAACAATGATCAACCACCCCCGTCATCGTAATGAACATTGGGTATTTATAATAGGGTTTCTTGAAAAACACCATAACTCAAGCATCAGTCGAGCGAAAAGTGTGTCGCTCGAGGTGGGCGACAATGATTCTACTTTGGACGCTCGAACATCAATTAGGCAACAGTCTAGCGTAAATTTGACGACTCTTTCTTCTTAGCTTTTACTCTTTCGTAACAATCCTATTATTTTACAATAATTCTTTCGTCTAAAAAATTGCCAATACAACTAAAAACCTAACACAAATCAATTGAATATGTTCTCAAAAATCTATGGTCATCATGATCTACTTGAAGAGCAGGAGTCGGAACACTTTCTGTTGAGTTGGAAGCACCAAATATTTTATCCAAGTCATTAATCCCAACCATCTGCTGTAATACATTTGGAATTGAAATAGTATTTGGAAGAAAAGGGTAGGAATAGAATAATATATAATGTTATTATTATTGGACGGAAATAACTCAAAAAAATAAATAAATAAAAAATCACAGGCAATGAAACTTAACAGAAATTGTAATTTAAGGAGAAAGATTGAGAACAGAGCAGGGGAAAAATTGCTTCAATGTATTTCCATATCTCTTCCTTACATTACAGCAGAATATATCTTTATATAGCAATGTACAGAATCGTGTCAATAAGGAAATCAAATCCTAACAAGGAAGGTACAAATATTCTAACATAATTACAGCTCATTCATTTGCATTTATTCTGGGAGATTCTCTGGTCCCTAATTTTAGCCGAGGAGCTGTGATCATTCGTGATTTTGGCAGCTGAATTATATTGTTTTGGTGGCATATTTTGAGTAAATTTCATCACCCCCCGCAAAATGGAGAGTGGATATTGAAAACTCCCATCTTGAGCAAAAGAAAAGATAATAATGGAGATGGAAGCACTTTGGTGAGTAAGTCAGCCAACTGTGAGCTTGATGGAGTGTAAGCAGTAGAAATGATTCCTTCTTGAATTTTCTCATGAATCAAATGGCAGTCTAATTCAATATGTTTGATACATTCGTGAAAAATGGGATTAGCTGCAATGTGCAAGAAAGATTGGTTGTCGCAATATAAAATTGCAGGCTGTGAGTGCATAACTTTGAGATCAGCAAGAAGATATTTGAGCCATACAATCTCACATGAGGCAGCTACCATTGATCGATATTCAGATTCGACAAAGCTTCGATAAATGGTAGTTTGCTTCTTGGATTTCCAGGAAATGAGAGACTGGCCAAGAAATACACAATAACCAGTTGTTGATCTTCTTGTATCGAGGCAAGAAGCCCAATCCGAATCACAATATGCAGTGAGATGACAAGAAGAGGATGTAGCGAAAAATAAACCTTGTGCTGGAGAATTCTTGACATATTTTAGCACCTTATATGCGGCTTGAAGATGGGGGAGACGTGGGGCTGCCATGTATTGGTTGAGCAAGTGAGTTGAGTAATTTATGTCTGGCCTGGTAATGGTCAAATAAAGGAGTGCCAATGAGTCCCCGGTATACACTGGCTCTTTAAGCAGAGTACATCCATCTTTGAGAACTTGAGATTAGGGTCCATGGGTGTTGTGCTTGGCAAGTAGACCAGAATCATGCAATATATCAAGTGCATATTTAAGTTGACAGAGATGAATACCAGTGGAATTTCTCGCCACTTCCAGACCTAAGAAATACTTTAGTGTGCCGAGATCTTTAATCTTGAATTTGGTGTGCAAAAACCTCTTGAGGTTTGAAATAGCCTGAGGGTCATTAGATGCCACAACTATGTCGTCAACATATACGACTAGCGGAAAGGAAAGAATGTCCAGATTGCTTGATGAAGAGACTATAATCAGCTCTAGATTGAATAAAACCAAAGCCGAGTAAGTATGATGAGAATTTAGCATACCACTATCTAGAAGCCTATTTAAGGCCATATAGACTTCTTTTCAGCTTGCACACTTTGTCTTTCCCTTTAACCAAGTATCCCGGTGGGAGTTTCATGTAAACCTCTTCTTCTAATACTCCATGTAAGAAGGCGTTATGAACATCAAATTGATGAAGAACCCAGCCTTTAATAGCAGCAATAGCCAAGAGAGTTTTGACAGTCACGAGTTTGGCAACGGGGCAAAAAGTTTCGTGATAGTCAAGTCCTTCTTATTGTGTGTATTCTTTGGCAACGAGATGTGTCTTGTGTCTTTCAATGGTGCCATCCGCGTAGTATTTTATTTTGTAAACCCACTTGGATCCAATAACAGTTTTGCCTTGAGAAAGATCAATAATGTCTCAAGTATTATTTAATTCAAGAGCAGCAATTTCACTGTCCATTGTTTTACGCCACTCTGAGGATTGGACAGCTTGTTTATATGATGTTGGTTTAGATTGTTTAATGATAGAAGTAGAGAAAATTGCATGTTGGGGTGATAATGTTTCATGTGAAATAACAGATGATAAAGGGATATGGATGAGTAATATGTGAAGTACCTTGTTCGTGGGAGCAGATCAGTGAAGGGGAAGAGCCACCAGCTTGTTGACAGTAGTAATCCTGCAGATAAATGGGTTGTTTCTTGGGTCTTTCAGATCGTCGAGGAGCTGTTTGGTGTGTTTGGAAAATGTGTAGAATGGGTAGAGGTGGATATAGGTAATTGAGGAAGGTGTAACTGAGGTGGGGAAGTGATATCTGGTGGAGGAATGGAGTCTAAACTGTGAGGAATGGTTTCTGGTTGTTGAATTGGTGCAGGAATATCTCGTGAAAGAATAGAGTCTAAGCCGAGAGGGTTGATTTCTGGTTGGTGAGTTGATGATGTAATATCTATTGGAGGTGTAGTGTTGAGGCTGAGAGTAATATCAGTCTTGTATGGGAAAACTTGTTCATTAAAAATGACATCACGAGAGTTGAAAATAGATTTGGTTTGTAAATCCAATAATTTATAACCTTTTACTCCAAAGGGGTACCCAAGAAGGATGCATTTTCTGGCACGAGGGTC